TAAGACAGGCTTTCAAGCGTGCCATTTGCAGCTGCTTTCCTAGAAATCTTTACAAGTATTGGAATTAAGCTTGCAGTTTTTCAATCAGTTGGTATTTCTAAACTATTAGCTGTCCTAAAGATAACTGACAGCTCAATAACTTTGATATTGATATATTGATCACATAATTTTCGTAATGCTGTGGTTGTAAACTATCGCTGCTTTCTACTTTTTTTTTCTTTATTTCAATTTTCTATGTGAGCACTGCTTCATCTACAACTTCAGATTCCCAGGTTTGTTATCATTAATGTCTAAAAATAATTCTCCTTGGGCTTATTGATTGCAGTCCCTTACCAAATCTAGAACTGCAGGTAGGAAAATAATTACTTACCAGTAGTCATTGTTTTCCCAGATGAATGAGCTCTGCATCCATTTTAACTTTTCCATTGGCACTTGATATCAAGAATTTTTTAGCCAGATTCTATTTAATGCTCAACTGTCCTCCATCCCACACTTGATTCATACAGGCAAAGAACAGTCCTGCAGAGGAAGCTGGGGAACCCTGATTGTGAAGACCTAGCATCATTTAAATTGGTGGAAAGAATAGAAAAATCCTCCTGTCTATCATGAGATAGATGTGCTCACCGAAAGGCAGATTTTATACTTACATCTCCACCGTGAATTGAGGAGACTAAGCAGGAATCTCACTTTACTATGACTACTGGTGTCCAGTAACTAAGCTGAGAAACCAGAGGCACTTGCAGAAGCTTAAATGAAGATTCTTTCACAGAATTAATCTTTTAATTACAACACCAGGGAAGTCCCCTTCTTGTCAGTCTGATCAGGAACATTCAAAGTCACTTTTGTATGCTAAGATTTAGTCATTAGTGAAGCTAAATGGAAGAGATCTCTCAGTGTGAATTTTCCTGCTTAATCCCTGTGCTCAAGGGCTCTGTCCCTTGCTTTCCAAGTTACCTGGCATTTCCTCCAGCTGCAGGAGCCATTTAAACGATGGAAAGAACAAGCAAAGTGATGGGTGGATAGATAGGAATTCCTTACTCGTTGTGGGATTTACTTTATATGCTTGTTTCATGGCAAATGCACAACAGGAGGAGAGAACTCAACAATTCTCAACAACGCTAGCACTCTTGCAGTGCAGGATTGACAAGTTCACGCAAGAAAGATTATGTAACAGCCAAAGGCCTGAAAGGGAAGGTGGTGAGGGCTGAATGCTTATGGATCTATCATGCGCAGAAATGGAACAATTTAATTGGTTTTTCAGATTTAGGAGAAAAAGATTTTTCTTCTGCCATCACAATTCCTGCCACTACTACTACTAGTGCTGGTATGTTGCTTTTACTGGTGGTGGAGTGAGGGGGAGCAGAGGGGCCAGGCAGAGGGGCCTGGCTGCACCAGCAGCCAAGATAGTCACGGTGATCACAGTGCTGGAGCAGGAAAGCATATGTAGGTCTTGAGTGTGTAGCTAAGGGAAAGAATTCCTGATCCCTGGGGACACGATACTTATTTCCTCAAGGATCAACCAAGTATTACCGCATAATCGTGGTTTGGACAATGATGACGCAAACAAAGTTTATAAACTGACTTTCTTCTCCATCTATAAAATCAAAATGAGGAGACTGAGAAGATAGATGAGAAAAAATTTCCTGCCTGGGGGGTAAAAGGAGCTAAGGAAAGAGTACACAATTTAGTCCAGATACCAAGTCAGTTTTAAATAAAAAAGCAGGGCTGAAGCTACCCCAGGCCTTCTACAAAACCAAAATGTCTCCTGTACCAAGTGCCTGTGGCACACAGTTATCTCAAGATAAAATGGGCTTGGAAAGACTGAAAACTGAGTTCTTATCTTTCTTTACAGATCATGACTAAGTCTCTCACCCATTTCCTCTGCAGCACCAGGCAATTCTTCACTGTATTACCCTTTTAAGAGGTTTAACTCGTTTTTGCTTTTCCATTCATGCAAAAAAGGTTCAGAGGCACAAGAGGAGGCTGATGCCATTTCAGAGGCTCCCTGCTGTCCTTAAAACATTAAAAACTCTCTCAAAGAAGCCAAAGCAAATTTTTGCTCTCCAAGAAGAGCAGAACTGGCATATCATCCCATTTTGATTCTCTATTTTGGTGTCCTGGCGGACAGAACTAATAATTCTTCTTTCCAAATTTGCTTTTGAGTGCTTTTCACTGCTTGCTTTCTTTATATCCTTTTTCTTTTTTAAGTATTACTATGAATCTCTGACAGTACTTCAAGTTTCTGGTTTCTGTTTTTCAGATCAGTATCCCTGCTCCAAACGAAGTGACTCAGCCACATTGGTTTTGTAGTCTCCAAAGAGCTTTTGTAATTGTCTGGGCTCCTTTTGAGTGAACTCTACTATCTCAACACGTTGGCCAATTTTCTTCTCTAGTTCTTCTTCAGAATAAACACTGACACTACTCTGTTTCTTAATATATTCCACTTTTTATCTAATTTGGTCTGCCTACACTTTAATCTAACTGTATGTATTGTTTAATTCCCTGCAGTACTTGAAATTCAGACTGTTATTAAATAGTGGTCAGTACTACTCTGTTAAACAGTCACTTCATTTCACCACAATACTTATGCAAAATGAAACATAAAGCACTATCCTATCTAGTCACAAAATGACCCAGTCCTTCCCTTTCTCAATTGCTTTAGTGCAATAGCCAACATTAAATGAAAATCCTACTTAACATTGTTCTCCCTAGCCTGATAGCTAAGCCACCTTCTCCAGCATTTCAAGGAACATGTCATTATTCTTATTCAGAGGTTAGTACCTTTTTCCTATAGATACACTTTTCTCCTAGTTCTTCAGTGGCCTGTTGCACTGACTCAACACTTTAACTATTTAAATAATTTTTGACCATCCACCATAACCGACGGCTGTTTGCCACAATGAACCATGTCTTCATTTTCAAATATTATGAAAACATTCATTGATATTACTATTATTTACTATTAATGCAACCTTTAATTCACTTTAATCCATTATCTCAACAAGTCGGTTATCTTTGCAATAGGTAAATCTCCTTTAGTGATAACAAGTTTATTTTCATGACCATAGTAACCATTGCTGGATTTACTAAATGGATTTATGGGAGTGTCTCCTCTCCTCCCCATATCAGAACTACACAAACAAACTTGCTCATGGTATGCTAGAGCAGCTGTACAATTCCTCCCATTTAAAGCAATGCAGCAGCTGGCCCTGACATTAACCATATTTTTATAGAGACTATCCAGTGGTACAATTTACCCTACTTCCATTTCCAGAGAGTCAGACTACCTCCACAGCTCTGCTTCATCCCTTCACCTTATTGCAGGGTTTTATACTTCCAGCCAACACTGTTTTATCTCTCAGTGCCTCTTTGAGAGAGGGAGAGAAGCACCTCACACAGCTGTCAGTTATCTGTGGGTGGAGGAGCCGTGAAGTGCCTTAACCCCCCACAGGTGCACAGATATCTTTACGAGCTCCATGAGCCCTCGTCTCCAAGCTGGAAGTACAGAGAACATGGGTGGGAAAACATGTCAGCAGGCTCACCACTAGCCAGCACAGGTCCAGTGTGTTTTTTTAGCTCTGGCACAGAGCTCTCTACCCTTTCAGCTGACAAGAGGCTTGATACAGGGACACTGAGAGGACACATAACCTGGTGGTCAGGGTCAGTCCCAAAGACAACCCTCAATCAGCCACAGCTTTGTGAGCTGCCCTTCCTTAATGCTGCGTCAACCTCATCATGCATTAAAGAAACCAATGTTGCTTTTATTGCTTGAATGAAACCTTTCTAACACCACTGCTTCCTGGGCTGCTCAGACTGCAGGGAGAAGGATCAAGCAGAAAGGCCAGAAGTCACCATGGGGGAATGGTGGGACTGCCCTTGGCCCAGTCCCTGGACTGCATAGCCTGGCTGAAGAGATGTATGAAACTGAAAAGCAAGCAGGAGTTGGAGACAACTTTTAGGAGTCAGGTGTGGGGGTTTTATAGTGCAGATAGCTGCAGGTACAGGACAGTGGGGTCCACACGTTCAGAGCAGAGGTACTCCGTGACACTGTCACTTCCTCCCAAACAAATTTCCAGTCAATAAGGTGACTGTGTGGTTCATTCTTCTTCTCAAAATAAATAAAATACCAAAGGTCAGTGGTCATAAGTTCCTACCAACACACATCAGTCTGGCTGCTTCCTTCCCTCAAGAGCATCACTGACTTGTTTTCGATGTGAGTCCATGTCCACTGCAACTGGTGTGGGTCCTCTGGTGACTCAGAGGGTTTTGGAACAGCAACACCTGAGCCACTTGTCTACATTCTGAAGTCTATTTACATGAAATGCTTATTTTTAAAAAATGTTAATAAATTAGTTCAGTGAACCTATTTAATTGTAATTCAAAATATAGCAGACTGTATTAAAAACTGTTTTGGCCTAGAAAACAAGCCTTTTGACAACAAACATCAGAGCACCAGATACTGTAGGATGGCCCAACCCAGATAATGAGTTAGGGCCCTAATAGCATAAGATTTCCTCAAAAAAATGCTCTTGGGATTTTTCAGATTAATAAATACAGAATTGCTCTGCTTTGATTTTTGATTTTTTAAGACCCTTAATTCAAATTTTGAAGTTTTGCTAGGAAATGAAAGAGCTATAAATTGTCTTAAAGAAACAGTGTGCAAACCAGACCCCCACAAAGAGTTGAAATTTTCACATGATTGCCTCATTCCAGGAAAGGGAGCTTTTAAGAAAACTATAATGAGACACTCTAAAACTGTGAAAATCATCAAAGACACACAAGGACTTTAGTCTGTATCATAGGAAAGCACCAGAAATACTTTCAGCATGTACTGCGAAGACACTCCAGAGATCAGAAAAAGCTACCTAGATCTTTTGAAACCACATCAACGTCACGAACAACCAGGAGTCACATAATACTGCACTTGCTGATTCACATATAGATTTTGGTCAACATAATAAAAATAATAAAACCTACAAAAAACAGGATAAAGAGCTTACCTGGATCACTAAGAAATTCGTCTGAGGTGTTCCACATCCTACCATCCAAGTACAAAGTGCCATTGGTGGAGTTAAATTTGGTGTAGTCCCTGACACACTTGTGTCGCAAGTTGCCCATGAAGAGCTGGAGGCCTATGAGGGCAAAGACACTCAAGCAGAAAACGGTCAGGATCATCACATCAGCAAGTTTCTTAACAGACTGGATAAGTGCCCCTACAATGGTCTTCAGCCCTAGGGAAATAAAAGCCAAGAGTTTATAGACTGAGAGGCTGAAACATGTCTGCAGATAGCTACTTTTCATGGTTAAAATCTCCATGGAAGGGAAAATTGGAAGGGTTTCTACTGCATGTTTGTAACTGCACTGTAGAAATGAGAGACAAGTGATCACTATGAACGTGTAGTTTGGCCTACTTCTGTCTGGACAAAAGTCTTGGTATTACTTTTACACAGACACTAATTGAAAAATGGAAGTAAAGAACTGAATGGAGGAATAGAGAGATACAAAAATATTCATGGATAAAGAAAATATGGAATATCATTTATATTTTCGTGGAGTTGCAGTAAAGGCTGTAAAGCCTAAATCCCATTGAATTTTGAGAATGTAAATGAGCTTTAAATCACTCAGGTGATTCTGATAACTTTATCCCTCACATAAACAGACAAAGAGGTACGGTATGGCTATTTGTTCCCTGATTATTTTACGTATTTCACTGCCAAATCCAGCTCGCTATCCTCATATGAATAATTCCTCTGCCTCCAATTCATTTGCCTAAGACAACAAGAATTTGGGATTAGAAATAAGCCAAATAATATGGGCAATCAAACAAACCCAGAGTAGAACAACCTGAGGCTCGAAAAACACCTGGGCAAAGTTAATTATTTTATAATATGCTGCCGATGTAGATAAATCATCTTATTACAAACATCAAAGGCTTGGGTCACACAAATTAGCTTCTTCTGTGTTATTTCACTCTGTAACACTAGCTTCAGTTTATTATTCTATAAATATACAGATATAAATAATTATACTTTTTTCTCAAAAGATATTGTTTGCTTTTGATTTGTTCCTGGAGATAGGCACTGTTTGAGATGATTGAATATTACATGAATACAACAAAACCCACTCTTCAAAAAAAGAGTGGTTCTTCTCAACCTGTATGCTGTAGTTGGATATTAATATCAGCTGCACAATAGTAGCAAATTTGTTGTTTCTTTTCTATTTATATTTAATTAATACTCGATCAGTAGTAATCAGTGCTTCTGAAAATCAGTGTCACCACTATGGCAGCAGTAAGAGAAATTGAGTTAAATGGAAAAAGGAAAACGGAAAGGGGAAACAGGAGGAATTCTCCTGGGTGATACTCAGAAGCACATTGATTTGCTCACTGAATATGATCATACACATTAAATCTCAGTTCCCTGGAATTCCACTCCAAGAGTGTGGTGGCCACAAAGGTTGAGCTAGTGCTGTATAATTTAAAATAATATGAAAATGTACTTGAGGACTCATAGGAAAGCAAAATGGGGTTTTGGTCTTGCTTAAAATTCTGCAGTTAAAGTAAGGGGAAATCATTGTTTCTCAAGGGAGGATGAGCTGCTAGAGTAGCCAACAGGTCCAACAGTCCCTGTATCCAGCAACCTAAAATATTCTGCTCCTACATAGGATATTGCCATTAAGTTAACCTGTGAATGATATTAGCATCTATAAAATGGCCATTTAACCAAAAGGGAGTGACCTATCAGGTGTGGGTAGCCCCCTTTCTCCACTAAATTCTTTGTTTGCTTCTTTAAAGCTTGAGTTTGGCATGGTAAAGAGGGAGAGGTTAGACAGCTCCCTGCTCTACTCAAAAATAGAGTAAAAAATATTGCAGCACAAACTTTAGTCAAAAGCTGGATTTTTGTGCTCTCTGAACTCCTCACCAGAAGAAGATTTTACAAATGAGGTCACTTCTTTTCAGGTACTTAGAAAAAAGCCATCTTTGAACTTTTGAGTCCATCTCTAGATTTGGCTACCTATTTTGACGCTTATATAAAAAGCATAGCTTTTCTGATAATCTAGTCTTGAGTGAACTTTATACCTGAAGTGAAAGTAGTTTTCGTTGTAGCCCAATTCTGAAGGACTTTCTGGGGTTTCAACCTTATCCAGTGTTAAGACTGTAAGACCCTTAAGATAGCCAGGTCTTAAACAGGTAGTGGGGTGGGGCAAAAGAAATATGATTTGTAAATGCATTAGAGTATTTTTTTATTTTATCTAATATCCTGAAATATTTTCAATGATTCTCATCTTTGGCTGTCCTTTGAATGCACAGATGTTTCTTCTCTGAAGCTCGCGAAACTTGGGAAGTCCATGTGCAAACTAAGTCTTCAGAAAGGCAAAAAAGGCAAACCACGAATTCTTTTACTGCAGTACCCTCTGTGAAATCCCTGTTTGTGAAACAAATACAGGCTTGGAGCCTGTATATGTATCATCGAAGTACACTAATTAATCTTACTCACATGGGCAAGGACAATGGGCGTCCTAATGTAACTAGGGATAATATTAGGAAACAAGACCCACAAAATCCTAATCATCTATGTCTGTTTTCAAAATCAGGCCCCAGTATTGTTAATTTCAAGGTCATTTTGTGAAACATGTTTTTCTCTGTTTACTCACTGGGGTTTTAAATAGAATAGTAATCCTATACTATTAGTTTTACAAGTTCATTCCTTGCAGGTATCAAATAATTTCTTTATGAGAGACATCAGCAAGTTTCTTTCTTTTTCTTTTTTCTTTTTCTTTTTTTTTTTTTTTGTTTTAACAGCATACAGGCTTCTGAACTGTTTAAGAAGAGAATGCTTTAGTAATACAATTGCTGTAATTAAAGACCATTTAAAAATAACTTGTACTCTGCCTTCTGGACCTTTGTTAAAACTTTCCAGGAAAACCATTTGGGGAGTGGTGTACTTATAGTATAACTGTTTTTCCTCACCCTTTAAAAAAAAAAAATGCCCAGAAAATTAAGTAGTGTCCATCAAGTTGCTTGGCACAACTCACTGTTAAGGAAAGTGTTCAAATCACCATTCATTTAAACTTCCTGTGCTTATAAATGGAAGGGCTGAGGGGAAATAAGGACACCCAGAACCTCTTGCAGGTGGTCTGTATTTCTCTGAAACAATCCCATGTTTTGTAAAGCAATGTTAGATGTATTCAAATTTAGAGCACTGTTAAATCTTCTAGATAAATAATCCTCCTTTGAAATAGTGCCAATGAGAGCACTGTAATATAGCTTAATAAAAGATACTATTTATGGGGCATTAAAGGCATTTACTTATTCTTGCAACTCAAACATCAAACCAGGCAGCATGCACTAAAAACTGAGGATCTGATCCAAAGCCGAGTAACATCTACACCTGTTAATGACAATAGGTCTATAGATTGCTCCCTATGGAGTAATCAAGACAGGCTTTTCCTGAATCACTTTCCACAATTCTGGGCCAATTCCTGCTAGTATGACATGAAAAACACCACGAGATCCAAAATCAGTGGAATGAAGGCTTTATAGGCAGCCTGACATCTGCAGAAAGCAAGACGGATTTGGCTCAAACATTCCTGTTAATGCAGGTAGAAATTATCACATTCAGAGGTTAATCAAAGAATCAGTTTTCAAATGCAAATTAGAAACCATAGAAAAAGAACACCGAACAATGAGAAATGGCAAGATCCCACAACACCATCCATTCCTTCTACAAGATGTGAGAAAGTATTAGCATAATTCAGTATGACATCCATACCAGATGTTGGCAATCACCTACAGAACATCAGACACTTTCATGCATGGTCTGGAAACAAGTGGGGAGAAAAAGCAGAAACAAAAAAAAAGAGAGTGTGACTGGCACCATGATTGTCCTCACCTAGCCTACTACTTCTCCTAAGGATACATGTGTCTTGTAAATGTCTGGATGAGTCATGTACATGTAAGGAGAGAAGAGTTCACCCTTGATGAACGTATATTGTCATTAGACACTGAGACATGAGGCAGCAAAGAGTTTAATAGCATGTCGGCAAACTTGAATGGCTGTCAGCTTTCCTGTAGACCATCTTTGCATGAAAATGTGACTGTCAGGCTAGTCTGCAAGGACAACACAAACATGTCATGTATTTCTCACTTCTGGCGTAGTTTCTTCTCAAGTTAAGCGATCTAGCCACCAGAAGGATGACATTTATCTCTTCGCAGGAGGACTTCAGCAAGATTGAAGTAGTGAACTAGGGTCAGTCTCCTCCACACAGTCTTAATTCTTGTGCTCCGAGCCCTGTTCTGGCTATCAGCAAAGTACTGGATAACATTCACAGCACTATTTATAGTCTTTAGACTCACACTAACTTAAACAGGAGCTGGATCAGGCCCCAAAGTGCCTTGGCCCAATTTTCTATGAGGTCACCTTTCGCTTGTATCCTATCGTTTTATGTGAGATGTCTGTGCTGTACATGCCTGTTCCAGAAAGAGCAGTGGAGCTTCTCTGGATAAAGGCACTTTTTACAAAATCCTGTTGATGATGATGGCCTGCATTTTCCAAGCTTTTGACGGGGAGATATGGGAGGCTGTACCTCAGGGCTATATATTATCTCAATTAGTAGTTATCAAAAGCATTGGTGATTTCCATGCAGATAAATTATGATTCAAGACCCTCTGTTCTCATGGGAAGGGTTCCTATTGAGCACACTGGGACCTGGATGCACTGATAATGGGAGAAAAATAAGTGACTTCAATGGGTTGTTCTGCTGCTGACCATGGTTCCTATCTAGATCGCAAACGAACGAAACCAGTTGCCATGGCAATTTGCAAGACGCTAATTAATACATAAAATCATTGAGAGTTAAAGGTTTTTATGCTTCCATAGAGAAAATGTTACCTATGCACATGAACATGAGGGATATATGAAGAAATTAAAACCTTTTTTCTTTTAATGAGTCTGGATAAACTGAATAAATAGATATCCGGCTATTGTACAAAGCTTGCTTTCTCTCAATATCACAGGCAACTGGAAAAGAGAAAGAAATGGCTGTGTTTAGTGCAGAAAAGGGAAAATTGAGGACATACATGAAGGTCCTCTGGCATGTTAAGGGCTGCCACAGAGGCTAAGACACTGACCTGACGTCCTACGCAGTGGCAGTAGGTTAAAAAAATAAAGACCCGATAATGCACCAAGAGAGAGTAAGGCTGGATAGGGGTATGGATTCAGAGACAGGACCTGCAGGTGATCCGTGGCCCTGGGGAGCAGGAGATACTGGCATGCTGGCAACCAAATTGAGCCTCAGATCTCCAGTGAGTGGGAATCACACAGCTTGCTGATAGACATGTGTTGCTGAATCTGGATCTGGTCCCATCTTTCCAGGGCAAATCTTCTAATGGAGAAAGCAATGAGGTGCTGGAACAGACTTCTCAGGAAGATCATGAGACCTCCAACTTTAAAGGATTGTTAGAACAAGTCAGGCAATAAATATCATGCCAGGTCTGAGCTACAGTAAACTCAGCCTTAGGCCAGAGGAATGGACTCTGAGAATTTAGGAGATCTTTTTGTGTCCTGTGAGTCCTCGTCCCCTAAACATCCCTGTGCCTCCTTGTGCACTTAGAGTCAGGCACTAAAGGTAGGTGAGATTTTTAAAAGCACTAATTGTTAGCTTTACTGACTCCCTCTGGAGTCAATAGTGAAACTCATTGATTTCAAATGAGGTAGAATGCCTTTGAAAACCAGCCTCTAAGTGCTTTGCTGGACAGAAGCCTTATGCCACGAAGGACTTGGCCCGTTACTTTCGGTAAGCTATTTCACTAAGCATGCTGAGTCCAAGTACATTTGTGCAAACATAACTACCTGATGGAAAAGTATGATCAATTTTATTGAGGAAAAGCTTAAATATTTGTAAAGGAGAATACATCTCGGTGTTCTTCACCTAAGATGTAAAAGAGGAAGCAAAAATAACAACCTCCTCCTCTCTCTAGCAGTTGAACCCAAAAATCTCATGGAAGATAAGAGTGTTCATCATCTTTTAATTTTTAAGCTTGTTGTGGAAAAATATTTCATCTCAGCATAAGCCTATGTTATCATTAAAAACTCAGATGGATCTCCAAATAAACCACAAGATCACGCCCGATATTTCTTTTAAAATGTATGTGTCTAACTGAAAATGAACCAACTCCTCTGAAATTATTTGCTAACATTAAAAAGAAACCTTAGCTGTGTTTTACAGGCAGCTGGGTATTCCATGGCAATTTGTAGCTCTCCACATCTGTAATTTAAACATACTCAGGACTCAGAAAATCTTGACAACAAAATCTAAGGCCAGATATTCTATTAGCATATCATCGTGCAGTTATGTCAGAAAATAATTTAGTTACTAGTGCCTAAAAATGCAGTTATCGAAAAGCTAATCGAATGCTCAGTCAAAAAGAAAAAAAAAAAGAGAATGTGAGTTATTGTATATTACTTTAATAAATAATATTCCTCACCCTTTTTTTTTCTATTAGCCAACAAATTGAACAACTCAGTGTTTAATACCACTGAAGGGATTTGGTGTATTTTTAAATAAAGTTTTTCTGAATCTTAATACCCCTTTTTTTCACACTAAAAAACCAGCCACAATTTATTATTTGATGTAAACCAAGCTTCAGTTCCAACTCTGATACAGGAGAGTAGAAAACTGGTGTATATATATAACTCAGCAAAATTGACAGGCTCTGCTCTGAAGAGGCTCAAGCTTGAGACAAGATGGAAAGTGAAAGGTGTCCCCTGGAGATGGCTGTCCCTCTAAGTTAGTCTTCAAATTGCTAGCAAAGGAAACTAGGAAATTCTGGTTTTCTTTCTGGTTAGTCACTACTATCTCACACGGTCTGTAGAACTATGTTCAAATTTCTGTTTCCCAAGGAAAAAAAAAAAAATCCTTTCTCAGTGGAAATCCAATTAGAGAAACCTTTAAAAACTGCTCTCTGCTAACAGATCATTCTTTTTAAACTTAAAGACAAAAATTAACACAGGAACTGATTTCAAGGAATACCAGATCTAATGAATGATCATCCTAAAGTCTTCTTTAAAAGCTATATTTTGGCATATCCTTTCAATGAAAAGTATCTTGTTCTTTCAGTAATTTCACTGATTTTCACTACTTTAATGTTGGAATGAGGAGTAAGCCCTAGACCCACATACAAGTTTTCTTAACACCTCCATTTCTCCATTCCCATTTTTAGCTTATAGTCCATGTGAGTGCTGGTGATTAGTTTACACCACAGAATTTGTTTAGATCTATATTATAGTGTAACTGTGCATAACATAATGGGTGGAAAAGGCTTTCTAACCTTAAGGAGACGTGCGTGAGAATCTGAGCAGTTTTCTTGATGTTTTGAATATTTTTGACATGTAATTGCCAACATCCGTTCAGGATTACCACCAATAGGATCTACCATGCATGGGTTTTGCTATCTTCTCTACCTTGTCATGCAGGTTGGAGATGTTAAACACTGAGGCTGAATGAGACCTGTCCATAGATAATGCTTGGCAAGAAAGTATTGTCATACGGTTAGTCCCCAGTGGACTTAACTCTGCATAAATTACTTTAGTAAATATTATTTATTATTTTAAGAAATAGTAATAGATTGGATAAAAAAGCTATGAAAAAAGGAGCTTCTTTCACTATCAGATCTGTAGTAAAACACTGACTTCTTTTTGGGGGGTGGAATCATATCCTTGAAAACATGAGCATATGTGAGTTGATTAAACGCTGAACCTACTGAGATCAATAACGAGATGTTTTCTGATCTCTTCAGGGTCCAAAATTTAAACAGTATTTCTATCATATGCGAACGGATAAACACCATGACAAATTAGGCTATCTATACCTACAGTCTTGAAACCTCAGCTCATAGCACAGAATTAGATTCCCCTGTCGATGTGCTCTTAAACACAAATATGCATTTTGAGGTCATTAACCTTCCATTTTTAAAAATCAATATCCGAAGACTTGGAAAGAGTTTCACTGCCATTTTCATATGGTTCATGAATGAGTACTTTATGTATGTGATTCATGAGCCACTGCATACCACCGTTCTTACAGCAGCACTCGCCTTAGTGAGGTCTGTAATTTTGGAGGCACTCTCATTCCTTCTGCCCACAGAAACGGTATTGGAAAAACATATGAAAAATGTATTCTATTGACAGGTCACATTCCCTACATTCCTCCATTTCCTGAACAGTATCTATGGTTAAGTTATTCGTAATTACTGTGTTTACTACTGGAAATGGCATGTAGGCTTTAACTGCAGCCGGAGTGTTTAACCTGATTTTCACCTGAAATGACTGAGATTGTTTTCAGCGCCCGCAGTACTCTGAACGTTCGTAAGGCTGAGACATTGCCCAGGTCCACAAATTCAGTTATGTATCTGTAACAAGGGAAAGTCACACACAGACAATGACAAAACACCAGCAAAAAAAAAACAACAGTCAAAGGGACAAAGAGAGACAGAGAAAGAATCACTTGTAGCTGAGAGCCAAAACGTAAGGATCAGGGCTTCTTACCTGGGATTACTGAAATAGTTTTTAAAGCTCTCAATACCCTGAAAGTCCGAAGAGGTGAAACACTGCCTACATTCACAAATTCTCCTACATACCTGTAGAATTAAGTCACAGTTATTTGGAATTATACAATAGAGAATGAGACTTGTCTGAATGAAGAATGCATTCATACATAGCGGGAGTGAACACAGCCAAATGAGAGGTGCATCCACTTTTCAGGCTTTTTTTTGATGCCATTTGTCCCAGGTTTTTCATAGTTCACATTTTTTCAACGTTCCTTGAACTATTAAACTTATCTAATAGGCATCAATTCTTTAAAACTACTGGGTGAACTTTGTTATGGTGCTGTTCAGCAATTTTAAAGATTCAGCAACTTTAAAGATTTTACCATCATGTAGTTTAACAAAAAATTCTTTACATTATAGGAAAAATTAAGAGTTATTTTGCTGCTCTTAATAAAAATAAAAGCTTCAAATACCCAAGTAGTTTTCACATAATAGCGTCTGCAAGCTACGTATAGGACAACATTGGAAAATATCAGCGCAAATGTTTCTACTGGGTTATTTATTCGAAGATGCTGTACTCTGTGGTAAAGCAGATGTTGGTTTTGAGAGATACTTAAAATTTTATTTCATTTTGTACATCAAATCCATTCCCTTTAGCTGCAGGAAGATGGATTTTGAATGGATATAATTGCAATGCTACTAAAAACTATTTATGATTGAAATACCAATCCCAGCTCTTCAGTGCCATGCGTATTTTGGTCATCATGGAGACCAATGTCACAGCTGAGCTAAACGCTGCCAGAAGGGTCAGTTATGGAATGAGTTTGGTTTTTCTAGTGTTGCACAAAATTATTTCCTCCAAGCCAATACACAGTAAAGGCATAGTCACCACTGTAAATTCTGAACAAAAGAGCTCTTGGACCCTTTAATTTCACTATGAAATTTCTATTAAATTTCAATTACTAAATTCTACTTCTTTTGAGGCATTTATTTTCACACATTAAAGAAAAATCTCACCTGGTTATTTTACAAAGCCTGCTTAAGTGGGCTTTGTGCAAAGGCCTCTGGGGAGGACAAAGCATCCTCTCCGTATCTACTAATCCAGATTATAGCCTGGAAGAACAATATTGCTTCTCTTCTTCGTGATCTCATAGGGGAGTCTGGGCAAAGATTTACCTTTCCTCCCCAGGTTTACCCAGCACTTCTCTCCCAAACTCTTCTACAGCATGCAAGGGTGGAAAAAAATAATTTTGGGAGAAGCAATAACACAGGAAAATGGTTTTGCTGGCCAGAGATCTGTAAAAACACACTATTAATATGTGAACAAGTGTAGGAAGCAATTACTACTGCTACTTGTTCACAACAGTTAATTAAGATTTATTTTGGCCATTTCTTGCATGAAATTGCAGCACACCAGTTCCTCCATATATGGGAGTGAGATGCAACTGGAATTCCCATCCTGAATTTTCTTGTTAGCCAGGGAATTGCATGCTGTCTTTAAGATTTTGGCAGGGCATTTTCCAACCCAGACCACTTTCCTGAGCTGGAAAGTAGTCACTTGT